TGTCGAGTCATGTTATGTGTATATCATCTTTTATTGTGTCGAGTCATTTGATCAGTGTTGTATAAAGTACCTCAAAGTGATACTTCAGTGAAAGTACAAGTATCTCATTACTTTGGTAAAAGTTAAAGTCTCCTTTAAAATTATTACTTGAGTAAAAGTCTTAAAGTATCGGACATTTAATGTACTTAAGTCTCAAAAGTAAATTTCTTTTATAAAATGTACTTAAAGTAAGAGCATTAAGTAAAAGTAAATGGTTAGAATTTCCAAAACAACATTTATTGGGTGCAATATAAAATGACAAAAACTTGGAAAGTTTGAACTGAACAACGAAAGATTGATCTTTAAAATGTCTAATTCTAATGAAGTATATTCATTCAACCTTTATTAACCTTTATTAACCAAGCTGTCAGAAAGCTCACATTGTTGTGTAGTTGGCTTGTTTACTGGGCTCGGTTCTGTTTGGTTATGGCTTGTTTCTTTCTGACTAATTAATAATATAGGATATATTATAGGATAATATAAGAGCGTAGGAAGTATTAGTTCCTATGCTCTTGAAGCAGTTCATGTCCTGGAGAACAACAAACTTCTCCTTTTTAACAGCTACCGTCATTTTCAGGAATGTGTCTCCACTGAGAGTCAACAAAGCTCTATTGTAACTATTGATATCTGTATATGCATCTAGCTTGTTCACAGCGGGAGCTGCAGGTTCACACAAGCAGCGGGGAGAGGCTGGGTTTGTGATCGAGAGAGAAGTGGCCGCATGAAGTCACAGACTAGAAGAACAAACAGGCATTGCCCAATCAGATTTCTTCTCATTTTAAATTGTAGTAACTAATATGGTTAAGGGAAATGTATTGAAGTAAAAACACACATTTTATTGAGGAAATGTAATGAAGTAAAAGTGAAAGTCGCTAAAGATGTACAAGTAAATAACGAAGTAAAGTAAAAATATGTCAAAATTCTACTTAAGTACAGTAACAAAGTATTTCTACTTTGTTACAAAGTACATTACAACACTGCATTTGATATTGTGTTGAGTCCTGTTATATTGTGGCGAGTCATGTTATAATGTATCATATCATCTTGTATGGTGTCGTTATATGTTATATTGTGTCAAGTCATGTTATATGTTATACGGGACCAGCTAACAAGACCTGCTAACGCAACTAACAAGACCACGCCACTAACTGAACCACACCACTAACAATACCATTGTGTCAATGGGACCATGTTGCTAAAGTAAACCTCACTGTCATCAGAACCACTCTACCAATTGGTCCATGCTGCTGTAGATTTATTTCCTTTTTCACTTTTGACGCCTTGTTTCAGTATTTTTGTTGCATGCTTTAAATAAATCTCATGTTATGTTAGTTTATGTTAGTTTTGGGGTCGGCTCTGAGCCCGACTCCGCTCGCATTAGCGTGTAAATTATAGCCGAACAGAATCTATGAAAATCGTGCTGCTGTTGTTCGGTATTTTGCACTATTAGTGACGGCCATATATCTTAGATCTTTTAGCATACTGTTTGGTGTTCGTTTAATGTATATCTTGGTTTATATGATCCTTATTGTTTCTTTTTACACTTCATATTTTTGCTATTGTTGGATGTAACTGCTGTGTACACAATTTTGTTCCACTTCATGTACCACATGCGATGCGAATGACAACAAAGAACCTTTATTGTTCATGTTATATTGTGTCGAGTCATGTTATATTTTGTCGAGTTATTTTATATTGTGTCATATCATCTATTTTGTCATATCATACTATAAATGTGTCATATCATGTAATATTATGTCATATCATCTTATATTTTGTTGAGTCATGTTATAATGTGTCATATATGGTGTCCTATTATGTGTTTATGTGTGTTATGTGTTTTCATATGTTATCATGTTATATATTGTGTCGAGTCATGATATATTGTGTCGAGTCATGCTATAATGTGTCATATTGTGTCATATCACGTGATATGTGTGTTATGTGTTTTCATCATGTTATATATTGTGTCAAGTCATGTTATAATGTGTCATATATTGTGTCATATCACGTGTTATGTGTTATGTGTTTTATATGTTTTCATGTTATCATGTTATATTGTGTCGAATCATGTTATATTGTGTCAAGTCATGTTATAATGCATCATATATTGTGTCATATTATGTGTTTATGTGTGTTATGTGTTTTCATATGTTATGTTATATTGTATTGAGTCATGTTATAATGTGTCATATATTGTGTCATATCATGTGTTATGTGTGTTGTGTTTTCATATGTTCTCATGTTATATTGTGTCGTATCATGTTGTATTGTATCGTATCATATTGTGTAGTATTGTTTACTGTCATATTGTATCATATTGTACTATGTTGTATGGTATTGCCTTATATTGTGTTGCATGGTCTTGTCATGTTGTCTTGTCAAGTCCTTTTGTGTCATAAGTTTGAGTCATATTATGTCTTTTTTTTTTTTTTATTTAGCCTTTATTTATCCAGGTTAGTCTCATTGAGCCACGAGAACTCATTTGCAAGAGAGACCTGTTTTTTAGGGAGCACATGGTGGGGGTTAAGGGCCTTGCTCATGGGCCCAGAGTGGGGCGAATGAGGGTGGGGGCAAGTGTGGGTGTTTCACCTACCCCACCCACAATTTTGATGTTGTCGGGGCCGGGGCGTGAACCGGCGATCTTCGGATCACAAGCCCACCTCTCTAACCTTTGCGCCACCACTCCCCCAACATAGAACCACTTTTCCTAAAACTAGCTGCAGATTTTGCTGAACCACTTTCATGTATTTTCAATCTCAGTCTAAATACAAATACAATACCCAAAATCTGGAAATTGGCTTATATTCTCCCTCTGCTAAAAGGGGGTGAACCAACTAATGTCAACAACTACAGACCAATTTCTAAATTATGTATTCTTGCTAAACTGTTGGAAAGACTTGTCCGTGATCAGCTGTTTTTCTACAATCAAATAATATGTTATCACAATTCCAGTCAGGATTCAGAAAACAGCACAGTACCGTAACTACAGTTCTCAAAGTATTAAATGATATCATACATGCCCTGGACTGCAAACAATACGGCCACAGGGTTCTGTCTTGGGTCCCATTCTTTTCTCCTTATATATCAACGATCTATGCAGTGATCTGTCAAACGCCTCCCACCATTATTATGCAGATGACACTATAATTTATTGCTGTTCATCCTCCCTCAGCCAAGCCTTCACCTCTCTTCAAGACGCTTTTAATATTATCCAGTCATGTCTGCAAAAACTTAGACTGGTCCTAAATGCTGACAAAAGCAAGATCATGGTTTTATCCAACAGAAAGCAGCAACCAGAGAACCCACCTCAAATTGAAACCCAAGAGGGAAAACAAATAGAAATGGTCTCCACCTACAAATATCTAGGTTTCAACATTGACAATAAACTGTCATTTAAAATCCACATCTCCAAAATAGTCTCTAAACTCAAATAGAAGATAGGCTTCTACTTCAGAAATAAATCCTGCTTCTCATGTAAAGCCAGGAGAACATTAGTAGCTGCAACTTTCATGCCGATATTAGATTATGGTGATGTGCTGTACATGAGTGCTGCATCAAAATACCTACAGTCCTTAGACTCAGTTTACCATGGTGCCCTTCGATTCATTACTGATTCCAGTTATCGCACTCATCACTGTGAACTTTACATCAAGTCTAGCTGGTCTTCTCTCAGCGCTTGCATATACACTCACTGGATATCCTTCATCTATAAGACCCTTCTAAACCTAGTCCCGTCATACCTTACCTCCCTAATACAAACATCACACGATCATTACTCCTGGCGCTCTAATGACTTAATCCTCCTGTCAGTTCCTCTGGTCAGAACTGAACTAGGAAAAAGAGCATTCAGCTTCGCCGTCCCCTCAGCCTGGAACAATTTACAGACATATTTGAAACTATCAACACTCATCCAAGAAAGTTCAATCTGGTCCTCTGGACATTCAAAAAAAACAAAAAACAAAACAAAGCAAAAAAAAAAAATTTAGAAACGTTTCGTCTCTCATCCAAGAGACTTCCTCAGTCTGAGCTGCTGTTTTCAGCTCAGTCTCTTAAATAGCACCTTCTCAGAGTGGATCAGCCAGTTTTGCTGCTGACAACCA